AGACATTTTTTCAAAGAAGATACACAGATGGCCAATACGCATATGAAAAGATGTTCAACATCACTAATTATTAGGGAAATGCAAATCAAAACTACAATGAGATATCACCACACACCCATCAGAATGCCTGTAATTAACAAGACAAGAAATAAATGTTGGAGAGGATATGGAGAATAGGAAACTCTCATACACTGCTGGTGGGAATGCAAACTGGTCACTATGGAAAATAGTATGGAGATTTCTCAAAAAATTAAAAATAGAAATACCATAGATCCAACTATCTCACTGCTGCTGGGTATTTATCCAAAGAGCATGAAATCAACAATTCAAAGAGATTTATGCATCCCTGTGTTAATTGCAGCATTATTCACAATAGCCAAGATGTAGAAGCAACCCAAGTTTCCATCAATGGATGAATGGATAAAGAATATGTGGTATATATATATATACAATGGAATACATCTCAGCTGTAAAAAAAGACAAAATCCTGCCATTTCCAACAACATGGATGGACCCTGAGGGTACTATGCTGAGCGAAATAACTCAGATAGAAAAAGACAAACACTGTGGGATTTCACTCAATATGTGGAAGATAAAGAAACACATGGATAAGAAGAACAGATTAATTGTTACCAGAGGGGGAGGGGATGGGAGGAGGGTGAAAGGGGTAAAGGGGCACATATGTATGGTGACAGATAAAAACCAGACTATTGGTGGTGAACACAATGCAGTCTATACAGAAACTGAAATATAATAATGTACACCTGAAATTTACACAATGTTATAAGCCAATATGACTTCAAAAAAAAAAGTCAATTGGCTAAATGCATTGAGTTGACTATCACCTCGTTGATGTTTTGTAAACAGGGTTTAGGTTGAGGGAGGCATGGAGATTTGACAGTAAAAGCTTAGGGAACAGAATGATGTGGTTGACAGATTGTCAATGGAAAACTAGTTTTTATGGGAGACTTATTATGGGGGACTTTAGAATCACCAATTGGTAACACTGTGCTACATTTGCATTGGCATAATCCAGCTCTCTTTCTTTACACACTCACACACACACACACCGGATATTAGTGCTAATCATCTTGAAGTAGTTCTAAGTCTTTCTATTTTGTGCTTTTCTAAGGATATGCGATTATTAAATTGTCCATTCTAATCACTAAAGTTCTCTCCATATATTGTATTTAATCAAATTTGTATTTTCTAAATACTTAAACTGTGTATCAAGTAATGAAAAATTTGAAGCAACCTAAATGTTCAACAATAGGAGAATAGCTTACTAGATTGTAATTTACAGATTATGGTTTTGGTGAAATTTTTATAGCCTAGGATACATTATAGGTAGACTCAAATCAAAAAGAACAAGAACACATGTAGATGATACATAAAGTGTGTTATCAGCCCTACAATACTTCAGCCCTTCCTATTTGACAAGTCCTAAACATTCATGTAAGAAAATGAATTAACAATTAATTACACACAATACACTCCAAAACAGTTACAGAATCCATATGGTTTAGAAGAAACTTTAAACCCTAACATGGCCTACAAATGACCTGTTCTGGCTGGACAGTTGCACTATACATCCATTTAATTTAAAAAGGAAATGCAGGACTAGGATTTTTACTATTATTTGCATATAAGCCTATATTTTGGTTGCACTGTCACTCTGCAAATTACTGCTTCCTCAGCCTTTTGTTCTTTTGTAGCTACCATTTGCCCAGTGAATTCACCTCAGCCAACCCACTTGTTCAGTAGATAATGCCTCCTTTTCAACTGTCTTGTTTCCCATCAAACTACAGTCAGCCCTCCAGATCCACAGATTCAACCAACCACAGATGGAAAGGCCCACGATGGTTGTGTCTGTACTCAACACGTACAGATTTTTTTCTTAGCGTTATTTCCTAAACAATACAGTTTAACAACTATTTACACAGCATTTACATTCTATTAGATGTTATAAGTAACCTAGAAATGATTTAAAGTATATGGGAGGAGGGGCCGTCCCCACGGTGCAGTGGTTAAGAGCGCGCACTCCACTGCTGGCAGCCTGGGTTCGGATCCTGGGCGCACACCAACGCACCGCTTGTTAGGCCATGCTGTGGTGGCATCCCATATAAAGTGAAGGAAGATGGGCACGGGTGTTAGCTCAGGGCCAGTCTTCTTCAGTAAAAAGAGGACGATTGGCATGGATGTTAGCTCAGGGCTAATCTGCCTCACACACACAAAATAAACAAATAAAATAAAGTATATGGGAGGATGTGCGTACGTTATATGCAAATACTATGCCTTTTTATATAAAAAACTTGAGCATCCGTGGATTTTGGTATCTGTGGGGGGGAGCCTGGAACCAATCCCCTGCGGATACTGAGGGATGACTGTATACATATTCCATTGTACGCTTGAATAGACCTTCTACTATCCTGTCACCACTTCTTTTGTCTACTTTCAGCCACCTCAGCAACAGTTACTTTGGGATAGCCATAACCAAAGTAAAGTGCCCAATTCTTGGTTTGTTATTTAATATTGAGTGTGGATAATAGAAGGAAATTAGGATAGCTGTGGGAGGTCTTCAATTTATGGCTTGAGAAGTCTGAAAGATTGTCATTGTTCTTAATTTGGAACTGAACACTAACTGTGGATGCATCCATGCCATACTCCAGTTATCTTCAAACATATTAAAAAAGCAAAATTTCCGTGGAGATTCTGATTCTATAGGCTAAGATAGGGGCTCAGAACTTATTTTTACAAATGTCTCAGGTATTTTAAATGCAAGTATTGCATGGACTATAACTTTAAAATGAGGCAGCAGACTATGCACTCCACCAGAACCCCTCAAACTTTCGTGTGCATAAGAATCAGTGTTTCTTCTTAAATTGCAGATTCATGTTCAGTGGGTCCGGAATGGGGCCTGAGATTCTACATCTCTAACAAGTTCCCAGGGGCTGCTGCTGCTGCTGGTCTACAGAGCACACTTCCAATCGCAAGACATTGTTAGGGGTTGGTAGGCACACAGATGGAGGTATCAATGGCAAACGCTGGACTAGTCGCTGAAAAGTTGCAGACCTGTGAAAAAGTTACATAAGCTCTTTACAGGTCAGGGTTTCCTTGGGCTTTCAAATTGAACTAATTTGTCAGTAAGCACACTACAGTATTACAGGAAAGCATTGACAGTATATATCTGTAAAACAATTGGAGTTCAATGTAATTATTTCAAAACTAACTTTCATGGTTTTATTAAAATTACTAAACAATAATTCTGAGGCATTGTGAATAAAGTACTGTATTAGTTTGCTAGGGCTGCCATAACAAAAGACCACAGACTGGGTGGCCTAAATAACAGAAATTTATTTTTTCACAGTTTTGGAGGCTAGAGGTGCAACATCAAGATGTCAGCAGGTTTGGTTTCTGCTGAAGCCTCTCTCCTTGGCTTGCAGATGGTATCTTCTCACTATGTCCTCACATGGCCTTTCCTCTGTGCTCACGCATCCGTAGTGTCTTTCTCTTCTTTTAAGGACACCAGTCCTGGGCTGGCGCCATGGTTTAGCGGTTAAGTGCGTGCGCTCTGGTGCTGGTGGCCCAGGTTCGGATCCCGGGCACGCACTGAAACACCAGCTCACCAGCCATGCTGAGGCCGCGTCCCACATACAGCAACCAGAAGGATGTGCAACTATGACATACAGCTATCTACTGGGGCTTTGGGGGAAAAAATAAATAAATAAATAAAATTATTAAAAAAAAAAAAAGGACACCAGTCCTATTGGATTAAGGCCCCATTAAGACCTCATTTAAACTCCAAATATAGTCACATTGGGGGTTAGGGCTACAATATATGAATTCTGGGTGGAAACAATTCAGTCCATAACCAGTACATATTAATGAATGTGAAGCAAGAATAGATTATATTTAAATTTTTTTCATTAGATTTGAGGGGGAAAAGGCTCTTAAATACAAGAACCTTAAGTTTACACTATGTTATGGGCTGAACTGTGTTCCTCCAAAGTTCAAATGTTGAAGCCTTAACTCCCCCACCCCGTACCTCAGAATGTGACTGTATTTGGAGATAAGGCTTAAAAGAGGTGATTAAGTTAAAATGAGGTCATTAGAGTGGTTCCTTATCCAATCTGACTGGTATCCTCATAAGAAAAGAAAATGAACACACAAAGAGACACCAGGTGTGTGCACGCACAGACGGCCATGTGAAGAGGCAGCAAGAGCGCAGCCATCTGCAAGCCAAGGAGAGCAGCCTCTGAGGAAACCAGCCCTGCCGTCAGCTTAATCTTGGACTTTCAGCCTCCAGAACAGTGAGGAAATAACCTTCTGTTGTTCGAGCCACCGGGTCTGCGGTCCTTTATCATGGCAGCCCTAGTAAACTAATACACACCATGTCTACAGGCAACAGTCAGTCCAGCACATTTTAAGAAACAACACACAGCTTTTGTCTTCTTTCATACTCAGTGAACCACACTTTATGCGTCTCTTTCAAAGCACATGAAGAAAAATTCCTAAATACAATACCAAACACTGTTTTTGTTTTTTTGTGGTTCTTTTTGGTGAGGAAGTTCGCCCTGAGTTAACATCTGTGTCAATCTTTCTCTATTTTTTTTTTTTTTTGTACGTGGGATGCCTCCACAGCATGGCTGATGAGTGGAGTAGGTCTACTCCCAGGATCCGAACCCGCGAGCTTGGGCCACTGAAGTGGAGCACGCAGAACTTTAATCACTCAGCCACGGGGCTGACCCAAAGACCAAATACTATTGAATACACTTAGTATAAATTATTATATCCCAAACACATGCTGAAGAATGCACCATTCAGAAAGCAATCCCAAAAGTTGTTCTTCCTTCTAAAAGTTCTATAGAGTCTTAAATTGTCATTAACTGAGAACTAAACAGTTCCAGTTGGTAACATATTTTAAGTATTTGTTAAAATAGGAATATAATCACAGTTAATTAAAGACTAGAGTGTTTCTGACATTCAAAAATAAGCCTTACCTTTGTTTTGGGTTCTAGAATTTTTACTCCATAAATTGATATTTGCAACTCAACTTTAGGAATTTTCTGGCCTTCAGATTTCTTGATATGTCTTGCAAACTACAAACGAAAAATTATTCACAAAACTATAATTCTGTTTCTATGGAGAGTGAACACAAACAAATATATATTTGAAGTTTGTTCCCAGTGTCTTCCATTAAATAAATTATTGCCCATTATAAAGTATTTTATAAACCCTCCACATAGCCTCAAAATATTTAGAAATCATAGTAATCTACCATTACTATCATTAAAATCAGATCGATTTTCAGTGACTTCTTAAAAACATTTTTAATGTACTTCTTTCATGATATTTAAAAACTTGTATTCATGCCAGTTGAGAAAATGAGAACTCTTTATGGGATGACAAGCAGAAATCAGTTCTTTTTTCTGTGGATCTTTTGTTTTTAATATCTTTAGAGAACTTGTAGTTCACCAGCACTGGATATGCCGTCTTTGCCATTTCTAGATACTTACCTCGTTTGGTATACCATCCTACCCAGTCAAACCAATGAATGGAAAGATACAGATGACCATATCACACTGAAGTCAAGAACTGAAGTAATTATTCCAGCTAAAAGACTCAGAACTAGACTCAGTCTTTGAATTATAAATATAGTGAGTTTCTTGAAAACAAACATTTTTAAAAATCCTTTCATAGTAGTATTTATTGTATCTTCTTATTTAATTAGTAGGTGTATATATTAGGTTCTGTTATAAAAATCAAAAAGAAAATCAGAATACCCATGTACTTAGTAGATGGAGTTTCTGCCTCTTTCCAAGAATTGCCAGATTTAGTGGTGGAAAAAAATTATAGGAGCTGAATTAAATTTGGACATTAAACAATGAATATTGTTTTAAAAAATTTTTATTTTAGAATGCATATATACACTTTATATGTACGTCTACACACATATAACATATATATGCTATTTAGTATAAGTATGTCCCATGCAATATTGGGGAAATACACTAAAAAAATTATTATTGAGTGCCCTGATTTTATCTGGCAATGCTACTCTCTCCCTACTTTCCTTTTGTCCTCCCTCCTCCCACATTTCTTTTTAAGAAATGGAAAAAAAAAAAAACCTATTGAAAAAAATAGGATTTCTTACCCCTCTTTTAGGACTTCAAAATGTTATTTCCTTGTATAACATTTTTTCATCACACGGATCATCCTAACTTGACTCAAAATAGATTACATGTAAGGCAGGGTGGGCGTTTAGTCCTCTTTTGTGTGTCATATATATTTGCACTGTGCATTTCTCTCTAATTAAGGGCAGATGTGAATACACATGGTATAGTTCAGTCCTGGAGCAGAGAGTGGTTAAAGGCCTTTTCTCTTTTCACGGCTTTGCACTGCCAGGGAGAGTAATATAATTGATACATATATGCATGCCTTGAAGTGTCTACCTTAATATCTAGGGAAGAGGGGAGGGTGGCATTTGTTTTCTTTCATTTTGCGGGGTATAATTTTTTAGCTTGCTGTCTGTCCTGTTCTATAAATGTAGACAGCTTTTTTTTTTTTGTATCCAGCAGTCTTACATTCTGCACATGACTGGCTAATTCGTGCCAGAGAATTTTTTTTGTCTTTAAGAAACTTGTTTTGCTTCAGTGCAGATCTTTAAAAATTATCCCAGCTCTCTCCCAAAGAGAGTGGATTAACTTTGTTTCTTTTCCCTTTGTGATCTCCTTCCTGTATTGCCATAATTAAAACAATTTGAGGGTTTTCACATATGAAGGCTGACAAAATAAATCAGCTGTTCTCCATCTATGTGAATGCATCTGAGCAAAGCCATTCCCGTCTTGGATGCAGAAGCATTCTAAATTGGCTTCCTAGGGGCTGCTCTTGTCCAGAAATAGACAATGAGCAGTGGCTCTTGAGGGCTTTTCCACATCTGGACACAACCATTCCTGTGACCTCTTTTAGTTTCCAAAAAGTCTATCATAAAGCAACCACTAATATTAAACTTATCTGTGGGGTTATTTCTTTCCTGCCAGGAAAAAAAGGGAAGAAAGAATGGAAGAAATGAAGAAAGGAAGGGAGTAGGGACTGGAGGTAGAAAAAGCAAAGAGGGAGGAAGGAGAGAGGGAGAATGAGATAAAGAAAAAGAAACGCAAACAAAAATATCTGATCTATGGCTTGTGAAGCCTTTTTCTCTGCTTCATATCAAGATGAAGCAGTTGTGCTCAAAGAAGATCCAGAGGTCATCCTATCCATTCTTCCCATTTCAAAGATGAGAGAAATAAGTCTCAGAGGAGTTATTTACCTTGGTCATAAAATGGGTCTGTAGCAATCACGCCTAGAACTTAATTCTGCAGCCACCCACAAAATAACTCTTTTCTTTTGCAGAACACATGTTCTGCATTAAAAGAAATATATATTTTCATGCATATCAAGGTTTACACTGGTTATTGCTCTTGATTGTTGCAAGGATGTTGCAAAACACTTATGCCTAAGGTTAGATTTGTTCAATATATATTTTAAACAGAGTTTAATATTCTCATTCCTGTCCATTTTTTTAAATTTAAGATGACTGTATTCTGTGGTTTGCATTATCCCTCTAAAGTCTCTTTTCCTACCTGTAGACCTCTTAACTGTGTTCCAAAATACTTCTAATTTACATTTGGAAGACAGGCTCATCATTCTTACTTATATTGTATTCTTTTCTCTCCCTATTTACTACTTGAATGTTAATGCTTGAAGAGCCTTTTTGCAAATTTTTTTCCATTTTTGTTTCAGTGGATTCACTTAGTTATCTAGATAGAGCGATCTACCAGTAAAACCTGAATGTAATAATCCAATAAAAATATTCAAAGGGGGTAAAGCCTAGGCATTCTGCAGGATATCTGAATACAACCAACAAATAAACAAAACAAATCTTTATCACCATAAAATGACGAGGAAGGATGAAGTATTATTTGAAATACATAAAGTACTTAGTTAAATATATGTCCCTGGTAAGTGGAACAGCTAAAGAAAATTTAAAAGGAGCACCACTGAGCTTCAATATTATCATCACAGAATTTCTATTCATTTCTCAAAGGACTTTTAAAAGAGTAAAATCTAACTTTATTATTAATGGAATATATATTATTAGGCAATAAAATTAATGAATTTATTACTGAGCCAAATATTCTGAGCTACTATTCCTTTGTGGTTCTTATACTTAAATTGTTAATTTAATAAAAAGTATTCCTAATAATTCTGCTGGGAAATCAGCTTTGTATGTATGTATATAATTAAATTAAGCTCTAAACAGTTTATTAATTAAATAATTGGTTATGAAGACAAAAGCGAGTGTTACTCTCCACAAAGAGAGTGAAGTCAAATGGAGAAACTGCTGGACCTAGATTTAACAGAACTCCACAGTAACTCCCCAGGCCGTATTCCTTCAGGTAGCTTCATGTAAGTTTCAGTTAGCTCCATTGGGGTGAGGGGTCTCTCCTCTAAACCTGGGGTCCAGGAATGCTGCCCCCTGGTTATCTCCCAGAGAAATCAAGAAGTTTTAGATCTATATACCAATATTTATCCACATGTAAACATCATAACCAGATTGTTTATGAAATATATTGAGCCCTCTGATATCTGTTATTAAAAATAAATTCATTACAATAACAATGCTATTAAATATATAAAAGTTGAAAAAGTTTTCCATTACTATTTTTTGAAAATTTGGTATTTCTTAAATCGTGGGCTAAACCAGGATTAAGAAATAGAAATTGTTGAACATGATCAAAAGATAGAAAATATGTTGTTTTGACAAATATAGAATCTGAAAGTAAAAACTTTAAAACTTATAAAAATATATTTAAGGGGGCCGGCCCCGTGGCGTAGCAGTTAAGCGTGCGTGCTCCACTGCTGGCGGCCCAAGTTCGGATCCCGGGTGCGCACCACTGCACTGCTTGTCAAGCCATGCTGTGGTGGCGTCCCATATAAAGTGGAGGAAGATGGGCATGGATGTTAGCCCAGGGCTACTTTTCCTCACCAAATAAATAAATAAATAAATAATCAGGCATAATTAAACATAGAAGCATGAAAAAACCTTATTGAAAATCTCATATGTTTTCCATCATCTGTATTAGTCCTAAATTTTGAATTCTTCTTTAATGTCAGAAGCCAATATATTAAAATTGCAAGCTTTTGAAAAATTAGTGATATTAATAAAATGTTACCTAATGTGGCAAATAAAATAATATACTGAACTATGGTCGATAAAAAAGCAGTCAGAATACAGATGTTTAAGTAAAATGAGCAGGAAATTCAAATGGGGGATGAGTATACAAAGCAGAGTTAATAAGCAAATTTCTTTTTTTCCAGTAGAACCATAGCACCATCTTCTGGCCATTTCTACATGACAACAGAATTAAAAAGGAGCCAGGGTCTAAGTTCTTGAAATAAATGTAAATACTCTTATATACTCTGAGCTGTAGCATCTGACTGCTGACAAAAAGAAACTAAAAAAAAAAAATTAAAATAAAAGTAGATAAAAATCATTGTTTTATTCATTTTCTGTAGATCATGAATCATTACCCTTAGATATACTTTCTTGATCTACAAAATTTTTGCAATCAGCAAAGATTGCTTATAAATACATACTTATTCTGAAAGATACTTGAAAGACAAAAGCTACTATTAACTGAGTACGCATTTTTAAACTATACTAATATTTTTTATCTTACTGTAAATCACTTTCCTTTATTAACAGAGTACATTTCCAAACATGAAACTACACAGGAACTGCATATGTAGTCTCACAAAAATGTATAAAAACCAGCCATTGTTTGAAATCAAATTTCATTTCAAATATCTCTTTACATTTTATCTAGTAATTATGTAATTGAATCCTCTTGGTTTTGGATTTGAGTTGACTGAATACAGAACCTCCTAGGTATAAAGAAACATTAAGTGTAAATACCACACTATTCTTTTATAAAACATTCTGATTGCAGTGAAGTTGGACTTATGCCCAGGGTGTGCAACATTTTGAACATTTACATAGAATCTTATTCTAAATGTTGTCCATAAACTGTGAGACCTTTTTAATCCTCTATTAGTGCTTAAAAGTACTGGCCAAATAAGGGCAAGTCTAAATTATTACCTAACGAGTAGTGGAAAGAAATGGTTGTCTAGTCCACTTTTTTTCCCAAATGGAAGTGATATGTCTTGGGACCTTTTACATATTTACTTAAAAGCATTAGGTAAAATATTTACACATAAAATGGATGGATAAAAGTATCATCTACATTTATTTCTTCACTCAGAAAACAAGCCATCCCACTTAAATTTCTGCTCAATTTAAACACTCAGTAGAGTCCACCTGATAGGACATTCTCAAAGCAAAGAAATAACTTTTTAATGTTTATGACTTTGCCTGACACAATCAGAGGCCTAACCCTCCTGGGGAATAACTAGATGATCTCTAAACTAAATAAAATTAGAGAAGGGTTGTTTCTCAAAAATATTGTGAGAGCAGCTATGGAGAATAACAATTAACTGTGTAAACAAAATCGTACGTTAGATTTTCTTAATGAGATAAAGATGAGAATTCTGCTGTAAGAGTTTTTCAGATCTTAAAATATCAATGAGAACAATGTCTTTTGTGATGTGGTGCAATTAGAAAAACATGCTAAGATGTGTGGTATCTTATGTAAGATTTTCTCATGAAATTTGCTGATTATGAGTATGTGGAGTTGCTTATGAAATGTCCTTTCTGCTCTCTTAGTCTCACCAGTTTCTCACGTCTGCTCACGGACAAGGCCAAATCCTCTTGGATTCATCCATTAGGACATCATTAACATACAATGTCACTGCAAAATTCTGCTCTGTAATCAACTCTAACTCCACACTTTCAACGATGGATATAATACCCTACCTATTAGACAGTTGTTACACCATTACTAGTTTTTGAGTTAGGGCATGAGCCCACATTGTTTAAGCAAAGTAAAGGCAAGCTACTAAATGTCAACACTTCTGAAATATTGCCATTACAATTTTTTGTTGAGTATGAGAAATTACACTTTAGAAAAATATGAAGTGTGCCACATTCAGAAAAATAAATATGTGTACACAGTTATCATTAAATATGTCTCCTTGATCTGGTGATATTTATTCAATAGTCCATTTTTAACAGGATGAAGCCATATCTGCACAAAGCTATTCATGCTTTGAATTTCCATCAATCTACTGATGACTTAAGACAGAATCAATACACTAGACATTTCTTTGGAGGGCTTTCCCTACCTTTAATTTCCTTACAGCATCTCTCACAACTTCTGTTCCTTTGGGCTGCTCCACTTCTGTACTGCCAAGAAACTGAAAATGGTCATTTGTGAGACACAGGCTTTACTACATCATATATCATTAAATCATTTTAAAATATAACATGGCATAATAGAATGGTGTGACAGTAATGCAAATCCAAATCCTAATTAAACAGAAGAGTTATTAATTTATATTATTCTATATTACATGAATAAATATATTATTTAATCACACACAATTCTTATTATTCAAAGATTTTTAAAAAGACCTTCTTCCTAAATATTTTACTTGCAGATTTTTAATGGAAACTAAAATTACTTCATTGGGCCCAAAGGAATGAAGTTGATCCCGAAATTTAACACACATTAACAATTAAAAAACTGTTAACAGTAAATTCAAAGCATATAAATACTTTTTATTTGTTACTTTACTTAAATGTCAATAGTATATTTTAAGATATTAATATGGCTTAATATAGCTTATAATTTCAAATAAACATTTTTCTTTGTTTTCCTATTATGATACTCAGCACGTAAAATTTTAAATTACAAATTTTTTTAATACCCAATATACACCATCCATCAAAGCTATAAGCTAAACTACATTTAAAAATAAAACATACATGATCTACAATTTTACTAAATTTTAAAATATCCCTGAAGGTTTTTGGTTAAAACTTGACCTATCCCCCAACAAACAAAAAGTTTCATAATAATTACCACATTGTAATAAAATCTCTATTCTGCAAAGACATAATATCTCCTAAAAAGAAGTCCAATGTTTTGAAATGTTCCAGATCAAGTAGAATTGAAATATGGATATTTTATTCTATAAAATATTTCTACATAAATAGCAAATAATCCTTAAATTCATTAAGTGTATATACACTACCAAAGACTTTTTTCTTTTCACATACTACCAATTATAACACCAAAGTGAGTCGTGAATTCATCATTTCTTATATAAAGAGACATATGTGTATGTATGTGTGTAGACTTTACATCAAATGATTAAGTAGAATCTTTTTCATGTGTTAACTCACAAAACGGAAGGGAGCAAAATAGTAATGTCAGGGTATCTTTTTAAATCACATTTATTCCTTCCTTCATTGTTGACCAAAAAACAACAATAACAACTAAAGAAATCAGAGACTTGTTTTTCAAAATGGGCTCTCTGTACTAGCTGCATGAGAATTACCCAAGGAGCAGGTTAAAATACAACAATACAGATTCCTTGGTCTAGTAAATTGGCATCTTTAAGCATAGGGATAGGGAATTATAAAAGCATCACAGGTGACCCCTTGCACTAAAGTCTAAAGAACACAGTTAGAAAACAGTAACAGGTCAGGAGGCTAGTGGAAGGCAGATAGGAAAGGTTAGCTGAAAATACAGGGGATAACGGCTGATCTTCTTTCTGGTGAGCTCATGGAGGAAAGAAAGTGAAGCTCAGAAGCATTAAGGCAAAAAAAGTTTCACTTCTCAGATTCTATAAGATATAACAGTTCCTTTTTCTAATAAGCTCAAACTATACTCAAAAACAGCTACTAGGGTCTATATAGGATATCATCAGGCACTTGGTTTGAACCACTGTGACCTCAAGTTGGCTGACCAGGCCTGCAAAACAGACCAAAATAAACGGGGACATTCTCAGCTTAAAAGGAATTGAAAACCTGCTCCCAAGATGTGGGAGAGAGTCAAATCTATTCCTGACGCCAATGGACCTGTCACGATTCTTCTGTTTCAGATCAGTGTACTCCACCTCGGCTGCATGATAGAATCACATGGAAGCTTTAAACTTAGACTAGTGCCTAGAGTATGATTTAATTGGTCTGGGGTAGAGCCAGGGCATCTGTGTATTTTAAAGCTCCCCAGGTGATTTCAATGTGTCACCAGGTTTGAAAAGGACTGTTTTAGTTCATCCAGAAAGGATAAAGGGTTTAAGTGACAGGATGGGGAGTTAACACAATAGGAGCTATTTCATTCTAACTAAATCTATGGGGTAAACTTCTGTTCTCAAGTCCTCTGAATTTATCATATTTATCATATCACTAAGAGTTTCCCCATTAGTGAATGGTCTAGCGTTAGCAGGAACAGAGAGGCAAAGATAGACTCTGTATCGTAAGTGATACTTGAACTAGAAGGAAGTGTCTGATGTGTTGATAAAAGACTGTAAGAGTTACTGGAAATATTTATGGAAGAATATTCATACTTCGGCAGAAATGTCATGAGTCATAAGTATTATATGCAAATAGACCCATAGGGGAAAATTATGAGAGAACTCCAAGTACATCCTAAATGAATCAACCTCTTGTGGTGCTCTGGGAACCTTTCAATATGTTTCTTTCACGATGGCTTTAAGTAAACCATCCGAGTAATGGAACACAGGGAGAAGCCTTGAATGATGGTGGGAATTAAACTACAAAGACATCTAATATGGACCTTGCCACTTAACCCAATTTTTCTATATAATGTTAGATGACCTAAGTGGAAATAATTTTAAAACTGAAAAGTAGATTATTCCTTATAATATTTCCGATATTTCTTTAATTATAAAAGTCATCATGATACTTAGATTAAATAATTCATATTTATGTGCATTATGTCTATATAAAATATTTATAAAACTCTTAAGTATGATACAACATGTTGGAATAAACTCTAGGCTTAGAATCTGAAGATGTTAGAAAAGTCACTTAATTTCTGCTTTATTTGACTCTTGAAAAATAAGGATAATAATATTGCTCTTCTCTCCTTAAAAAATTGTTCTGAAGATCAATTACAATAAGAGATTACAAAAAACAGCTCTGTAAACTGCAAAGCGTTCTATAATTATGAAGGATTGCCATTCTTTTATTTAATGATTTTTTGGGGAAGACACTAGAATTTAGTGGATACCGTTGGTGCCTGCTCAGCTCTCTTTGGATCTACTTTGTCAGCACTTGGGTCCATCCTCCAGCTTCTCCATGCTTTGCTGGTAATGGCTCACACTCAAGACTTTTGGAGGATTCCCTTTGGGCAATGAGATCACGTTGCCAGTATTGAGAGCTAGAAACATCTAGGAGTATTTTGCTTCCCCCTCCCCGTATCACCACATTCCTTGGCCAATGACTGGTGTGGAAGTACAAAGGCCCAGCCCCTTTGCTTGGAGGTGGGGTAAACTCCAAGGTGTAAGGTTATGATGCAGAGAATGGGGCTGAGGCTGGGGCTTCGCCTGATGCTCTCCTCTTCCTTGATTTCTTCCCTTTGTCTGACCTGCTTTCCTACGCCCTTACTGGTTGCTCCTGGGAGCAGCCGCTTACTAAATCACTTGCACCCAAATCTTTGCCTCAGGGTCTAACTTTGGGAGAAACTGATTTAAGACACTGTTAAATGCTTAAATGCTTACATTCAGGAACATACAGTCTAGTATTCAAACCACAAATAACAAGAAATACTCTTGTCGTAAGTGCTATCAAAAGGCTTGTATACAGATAGAGGTAGGACTTTGCTTGTCATCTTTTTCCACTCTGCTGGTGCCTGAAGAGTGAAAGAAAAGATGGAACTGAATAGAGCCATGGACAAAGGATTAATCCATTTCATCCCAACCGAGTCGTTAACTAGCTGGAGAAACAAGGCCAGGGAAGCTCTGGACTGCAAAATGCTAGGCCTGCTGAGAGCAGAGGTGAAGCTCCTCACTGAGACAAAGAAAGGGCTACACCCAAGTCCACCTGGGGAATTGAAAGTCCACGGGACCCCTTTCCCAGCCTGTCTCCTAGGAGATTGGCTGCTAGTCTTACAAGCCTTCGGGCAGGAGGATAATTCCTTAGGGAAAGTGGCTCAGGAACAAAAAGACAACCTTTGCTGACACTTGGGGTCTCCACATGAGATAGATGGGCCACCTGACCAATCACCAGTTGACAAGCCATGCCCAGGCACACAGAGCTGCCAGTCAGCCTGTGAGTGCCTCAGTTTACAATATCCAAACACACGAAGGATGTGCATATATTTGAGGAAAGCCACTCACATGAAAAACAGGGAAGAAAAACACAGAAACAGAAACAAAAAAGAACAAGACAGAATCAGAGAAAAGCAGGGACAAGATGACTAAAAATCTAAAGTCAATATAAATATACTGCATCCACGATAAACACAGGATACTATATAAAGTAGCATTCAGAGAAGGAAAAAGAGCTCACGGAAATGATGAAGCAGGCAATTAAAAAAAGAAATATGAATATTAGAAGATAAGGTGGAAGAAATTCATCAAGAAGTAATTATTGGGTGCTTACTATTTATTAAGTACTATTTTAGGAGTTGGGGGATACAGCAGAAAATGAAACAAAGCAAATCCCTGCCCTTATGGACCTTATACCCTAGTGGAGGGAGCCAATAAGAAATATAACATAAATAAGTAAATTATATAGTATTTTGGAAGTGCACTGGAGAGCCAGCAGGGATGAAGGGGCAGAGGTGCAAAACATGTGAGTGTGTCTGTGTGTTGTACCATTTTAAGTAGGATGGTTGGAAGAGACCTCACTGATAAGGCGAAATGTAAACCAACCAGAAAGGCGGTGATCCATCTAGATATCTGAGGGAAGGCAGGCCAGGACAAGCGAACAGAAAGTCAGATATTTTAAAAGAAGATTAAAAAAAGAGAACTATTAGAGAATTGGTCTAGGACAGTGTTTTTCAAAATTCAGTCCCTGGGAACAGTAGCATCAGCATTATCTGGGGACCCGTTATAAGTACAAATTCTACTGAATCAGAAACTCTGGGGGTGGGTCCAGCAATCTATTTTAAGATCTCCTCCAGGTGACTCTGATGCTTGCTTAAATGGGAAAAACACTGTTCTAGGAGATCCAACCTCAAACCAGATACAGTTCTAGGAAAATTCTGGAAAAGTTCAAGAAAAACTGAAGGAAGAAAATTATCTAACACTTCCTGAGAAACAAAGGCATGAATTTTCAGACTAAAGGACTCAAGATTACAGCACTGTAATGAGTGAAAACACAAATACAAGCACAACACATTAGACTCATCATCAATATACAAGAGATAGAGAAAATATCATGA